TTGAAAGGAACCCAAGATTTCAGCTTGCACTACAGTAACAGGAAGCATATTCCGTACTCTAACTACACGCTGTGTAATGTAGTGCTTTCTCATATCCATTTTAAAATGTTCTCCTGCTAATTTCCACCTACTAGTTCTAGTATTTAAACTAATATTGAAATAGCCATTTGGCTGAACAGCATCCAGACCCGTTAGAATCTTGTATACCTGGATCATGTCTCCCCTTAGTCTCCTTTGCTTGAGGCTGAACAGATTCAGCTCAGCTAATCTCTTCATAAACCATTCCTCTAAGACCAGGAATCATTCTTGTAACCCTAGGTTGAACCATATGGTTTTATTTTAAATTCCTTTTTTGCTGGTAAGGGAAAGATTAAATCTAGGTTTTAAGCATGGTTTTGTGATGCATTTACTGTTAATACGCTACTAACGTGCTATACGGTAAACAGGATCTGTCATTGAGAGAGTGTTCACTTATATATGTGCATTTCATCGGAACTGGAACAGTGTGAAGTTTTTAAGGTGGCTCGTATTTTGTATTGAATTTGAAGCTGGGGAAGGAAAGCAAGTGGACCACTCATTGTATTTTCGGTGTTTGGGGTGAGGAATAATCACATGACTAACATTTTCCTGTTCCTTTTCGTTAAAGGTGACACTGTCCGGTTTTTACTCATGTAAGTACATGAGCAGAGTGGTTTCCCCAGTCGGTGGGCGTGGTTTAATGTGTGACGTTTAGGAATTTCCCGACAGCACTTGCATCGCGTGCACCTCCTGTTATGTATTTTATTAGAAACAATGTAGTAAAACTATTGTTTTTTCTTTGACTTAATGCTTTTAATCCAGATTGGTACTGGCACTATTGACATGTAAATTTTACAGTATGGCATGATTTGTATTGCCATGATCGTGAATGTCAACGCAGTGAATTCGGTCGCGCGCGCTCCTAGCAGTCTTCAGTAAACTCTGGTTTCTCTTCATATCGTATAAATCTTTCGCCTTTTACTAAAGATTTCCGTGGAGAGGAACATTATGAGTATCAACTAATTTTTTTGAAGCCCTGCTTTGCAGTGGGGCTTCTTTAGATGGTAAAAATACAGGATATCACTTATCAGAAAATTATTGGAAACTGTATTACTTGAGAACTTTTCTAGCAGAAGCGTTATAATGACGAGATAATTGTGTCCGCGTTACTGTTTTATTTATGAAAAGCGACTCGTTTCGTTTCCTTTGTGGCTAATACTAAATAATAGGACGTTTCGGGTCATTGTCGACTCTGCATGTATTTAACGTGAAATTCAAGCTTTTACTCCTCGCCAGCTCACTCATAATTAACCCATGTATTAATTTCTATAAATTCCTTCGTTCGTCGCCGTTTCAAGCGTTTGAAAAGGTGACATGAGAGATTTTCATCACTAGGGGGCGTCAGTAAGCCAGAAAAGGCTCGACGTCGTATTGCTTTTTACAAATGGCACCTGCATTTTCACAGCTCCTCAATGCTGCTAAATGACCGCAGAATGAGTGTGCATTGTATTTCCAAGCCATTATTCCATTAATGCTGCAGATCCACCCAGACAACCGGCTTTGAGTTGTATTTGAGCTTCCAAATAGTTTTTGGTTTTTGTGTGTGTGTGTGTGTGTGTGTGTGTGTGTGTGTGTGTGTGAGTGTGAGAGAGAGAGAGAGAAAATTGTTTAAAATAGTGTGACACTCACCCTGGAGATAAATGTAACAGTTATGGATTGAGCCCTGCTTCATGCTGCTATGAAGATTGCCGCTGCCAATGATTGATGCTGTTTGTTGCGCATTGCCTCTTGCCCTGAGGAGACCAGATGCACTAGTTTACATCAGCATGTAGACGATCGCAGGATTTGCAGGCACTATATCAAATTTGGGCTGAGTGAGTCATAAAGGGGCCGCCCAGAGCAGATCCTGGCTGAAGATGTGGAACTTGCAGATGCTGATCTGACTTTGGAAGGTCGCAGCTGTTGTACTTTTGTGCACATTGATTGCTTCAGTAAATTGTATTCATAGTTTGTCAGTCTGACAGAATAACTGGTATTATGGCCGAAATGATCCCCACATAATTTTGTAGTGGTTAGATGAGGATACATGTGAAATGAATGTGGACGGTATACACACCTTTCTTTTCATTTTTTGTCAGGGGGTGGGCTGGCAAGTCGCAAAGGCCTCTGGTCTTTAGGATTCGGTGTACATCTTCAGTCCACTTGTCACTTTAAAGTAAATGAAGTTTCTCTGTGAGTTGGGAATTGTGAAATTGATGGGGCCAGAGTGATTTGGTAGGTACACCGAGTAAAAAGGTCAGAGCGATGTTTCTGAAGCGGTACAGAGTGAGCGTGCACGTCGATCGGTGTGCAGATGTGCAGCTAATCCTGCATGGGGGGGGGGGACATGGCAGTCTCGCGGCGCGCTCATTCACACACGGATGCATGCGGTAACGTTATCGATCCAGGCTGCACCCCGTTCGCATCGCATAAGCAGCGTGGCGCGGGGGGTGAAGGACGTTGTGGCCCTGCAGCGTGCTCATTCACCCACAGACACGTGCGCATGCGGCCACGACCTGCAGGCTGCATCTGGCCTCGACATCCACCGACGATCAGGCTTTGCCAGCCTCCTCTGTGGTGCGAGTGACCAACCAAACTGCCAGTCCACTGTGACTCTGTGCTGCTTTGCAGAATTCTCCCAAAGCTTAAAAAAATGTGGCTGCCAGTTAGTTCGGTCCTGTACGAACTTGACTCCGCTTCTGAACAGCTGCTGGTGAATCTGGTCTGGAGCTGATACAGTTTCTGTGGGCATCCCCACGAAGACTGCGTACCCACGAAGACTGCGTACCCACGAAGACTGCGTACCCACGAAGACTGCGTACCCACGAAGACTGCGTACCCACGAAGACTGCGTACCCAAGTGCGGAGAGAAGGCACTTTCCAGCACTGGTCATATCCCATGAGGCCGATATACCTTTGTTAGGCTGTGGGTGGCATTCTGACGCAGATACCTCATTTTCCTTGCAGTACTTGCAGAGGCCCCCAGAGAGGGGTGTTAAGATCCTAAAGATATGGGGGGGGGGGTGTCACAGGGACAGTAAGGCCAACAAGACCAGCCCCTCCTCCAGCTGGGGGCCTGTTTCCCGATTCTTTGTTTTGTTAGTTTGGATACAGGACAAGTCTTCCTGTATGAGAACACCCAGGTGACCATGTGACCAGGTCCCCCCTCCCCAATCAAAGCAGATGGGCTCAGCAAAGCCCCATGGAGTGGGACCAGACATTCACCATGAGCTCAGCCTGTCCCCTCAGGACCTCGGTAAGGCTGTGTGCTGATTGGGCAGGCAGAGTCATGTGGTCCTACCATCTGACGAATAAAGTTGAATAGCTTACAATTCAAGCTTTCAGGATGTTTAGCTACATGCCTAATAATGCTTCACACTCTTGGAACCAGTTCGGCTTTCTTAAATTAAGCGTTTAAGGTACAGAGTAACTTGGTGTGAGAGGCTGGTGGAGAGAAATGGGTGTAAGATGGAGGGTGAATCTGGGAGGTGTCAGACATTTCAGTTGGAACAAACTTTTTTTTTTTTTTCCCTCCTGTGTGTTTTACAGCCCTATGCCTGCTATTTTTAGGTGCCTTTACTGTCAAGTGTCAGCGGTTGCCATGGCGTCTGCCCCCCACCCACCCCCGCCGGTTGCCCATAAACTCCGAGTGCCGTGGGCACGCTCCTGGACTGCTGAAGGACTTATGCAATAACGGCGGCCTGGGAACCTGCGTAACAAGGGCTTTAAAGCATTTAATTGGCTGCTGATGACGCTCCTGTGGCGGAAGGGAGCGCCGGATTGGTCAGAGCCCGTGCTGTGGACAGACAGGGGCGTGTCCAACCTCACCCTAGCATTCTGGTATTTACCTGTATGTCCCAGATCGATGGCACCTTCCCCAGGGAGGTCTACGGATCTTACTGCAATCTGGATTGGTCAATATGTAGTCTGTCTGTTTTTCCAGGTGTTTTATGGGGTTTGGTGCAGACGTTTGGCTCCGAGCCGCCCTGTGTCGCCTCTGAAAATGAAACGTGAGGGATTGGGGGGGGGGGGGGAGACTGGGGGGGGGGGGGGACAGGACCCAGAGGGAAAGGGGCGTGCACCTAGGATCACAAGACAACAGCTGTAAGTGCCTCCAACAGTCT